TATATAGTGCCATTGCACAATCCCAAGAATTCCACAATTACGGATCTCTCTCCCTCTTTCTGTTATCCCAAGACCCGGCAATTATCGATGGGCAATTTGTGTCCAAATGCGAACAACAATCATATCTCGTACAACATCTCAATTCGATGGGTAAACTTTTCTCAATGTTTTTCTTTCTATTTCTTCGAGAGCCAGAATAAATAAACAAAGATCTCCTCCGGCTGCATGGAAAATTTCGCTGCTGGGGTTAAAAGTTTCCGAGAAGTTTCACGTATCTTCTTTAGAAAAATTGTTATAGAAAACTTGTAATAATCAATCAAATTATGTCGTTTATGGTAGTTGAAGTTATATGATTTTTTTTTCTAAAAACAGAATTTTAAAAATATTTATTTTTCAAACATTAATTTGTTTTTAAAATTTTTTTCGATTTTTTCAAAATAACAAACAATATTTTTTCTAAGGAAAATACGTTTATTGCCCGCATTATTTAGTTTTTGTATTTAATGAAGAAACAAAAAAGTTATTCATCGGACAAAATCTTAAAAAAACAGGTGTTAAGACTTTTGAACATTTCCCCCCATAAATCTGGCCAAATTTGGAATATCTTATCTGCGATCGTCGCATTCCTCACAGCCACTTGACGAGCGATCGCTTCTTTTGGGGAGGCACAGATTTGAGGTTCGAGATTCGAGATATCTGAAGCATTTGGCACGTGGGTGACCGGCAAATGCGGAAGCGTCACTTGACGATGGCCAAATATGCGCCTGTAAAAGTGCTCATACACAATCTGAATCTGAATCCCAATCTGAATCTGGATCCGTATCTCGCGGTGAGCATCTGCAGTGCCTCATAATCATTCAAGTGGGTGTCTTCAACATGAATGAAATGGAATTGGAATTGGAATCAGAATTGGAAGAGCAGCACTGCGGCTACAGAAAAAAAAAACAAAAAAATCTCGTTTAGTCACTTTGCGAAAAGCACAAAAACAGAACAGCACCGACACAAATGCAGATACAAATGTGGATGTATCTTCGCATCAGCATCTGTATTTGTATCTCTAGCTGTATCTGTATCTGTGTGCCTGCAGAGCAATCGAATCAAGAGACAAACTGGGTAATTGGTTCATTATATAGTAGAAGCCAACGACATCCGCTCGTTAATGTAAATTACACAATAGTTTCGAATCATTTTTGTTTTTTTTCGTCTGCACTTAATTTTTTCATTTTTCTCTAGCTCTTTGAACGCGTGGAAAACCTGTGAACAGGGTTGTATTTCTGCATAATCGATAAATATCGAAAATAATCGTTCATGCATTCTCATCATGTATGGAAAGTAAGGAAGATATTAAGTAATAGAATACCAGGATAAATTATAATAATAATCACTTTCAAGAAACTTAAGATGGGCTCGTATTAATGTAAATATAACAACCAAGGAAATCAACAGTGAACTCAAATTTCCATAGAAAGCGAAAACGCCAGGCGCCGGCGCCTCGGGAATACGTTTATAAGGAAGATATATGTATTATAATCAACGAATAAACAAAACCCGAAGAGGGTCCAAATTTATTTGTCCAGCGATCTTAAATTTCCCTGGACTCCGGAGGTCTAAAACCATAATTTCCTCTCCATAAGCCCGCCCGATGTAAACACAGTCTGGAAACTTTCCATTAGTCCGGGGGATCGGAGATAACGTCGAAATAATGCGCCGAGATCGCAGAAAATTGGAAATATAATTGAGCAGGGGTTTTTTTCTTGTTTGGGCTCTGGGATTTAGGATATGGAGGGAGGCTCTACTGTAGTCTAAATTTATTAAACAATTATTGGACATTATTTTTTGTGTTGTCTGCGCTTTTATTTATTATTGTTTCCTTCAGAAGAGAGTCGGCGATCGCGAAAGAGAGGCAACAGAAAAGAGAGAGAGAGAGAGCGATAGAGCGGGGGGTGGGAGAGCGGGCTGATAAAGCAGCAGGAGGCAACAACAATAGCAAATAAATACAATGCGAATTATCAGTGGACTGCGTGATATGATTATCAAAAGGTTTCCCATTGCTGTTGTTGCTGCAGCGGCTGCTGGCAACGGCATTTCTCAACATATATATATGTATGTAGGTTCATATATATATCAAGAAATATATAGACACATATACGCGCCAATTCGGAACAGTTTATTCATCCAATCCATATACACTCATAAAAATTAATTTCTAAATTTTGGAAATCTCGCCATTGAATCGGCCTACCTTTGAAAATAGAAAAAAAATTTCTTGTTATTAGAAAATTGTCCTTTGAATACAGAAAACCTTTCTTGATGGAACAAATTCAAGAAAGAATTTTTCTTAAAAATAGAAAAATGAAAATCTCATATGTTTGTTTTGCCGTCGCAGCCAAAACATTTTTGTACGTATTTAAGGACAAAATCACCTTTGAATATATGATTGAAATGACCCTAGAATATAGGAAAGTAGCCATTGACTTCCTTCGGCTGTCGACTGTTAACGACAAGAAAAACGAAGTGGGACGAAGGGCCTACTCGGCCCGACTACTACCCGGCTACCGACTTCTCTGATCCCCCGAGCGTCAGTTGTGAAAAAAATTCGTGAGTGATGGACGTGATTTTCAAGCGGATAAGAGGTGAAGCCTTTTTCCGAATATTCAAAGGTATGTAAATATGTATATAATTTTTTGTATAGCGGGCGTACAATTGTGTGTATGTAATTAAAGGATACATTTCAAATCTCTTTACCAAGCGTATACCAATTTAGGTGAATTGTTTTTTAGCTAAGAGCTACGTACATACATACATTTGTACATAAATTTGTGGGTGTACAGTTCTATAATAACTTTATCTTATTACTCGCATTTTATTTATTTTTCAGAGTGAAAATACCTGCAGTTGCATCAGCCAAATAATTTGTTTGTCGAAGCTGTAATTTTGTTTTAAAACCTTCTAAGGTAAGAAAAATATGTTGTATTTGTTTGACATACTTATGTATGCATGTAAATATCTATGCATGTACGCGGCTCACCCGATCTGAAACCCGATTTTCAACCCTTTCATATTCTGCTCCTCTCTCTCGCTCGCTTGACCTACGCGTCGCGACGTTTCTCTCTTCACCTTCTTAAAACTGACACGATCTGCCCTGCTTACATTCGGTCTCCCTTCGCGCAAAGGACTGTATGTAAATATATATGTATGTATGTATGTACGCGTCTCTCCCGTGCCTCTCTCTCTCTGAAATTCGATTTTCAACCCTTCATTTTCTACCTGTCTTGCTCCTCTCTCTCGGTCGTCTGTCCAACGCGTTTGTATTTTGGCTATTATTAACATTACATTATTTCAAAAAAGTTGTTTATCTAAAAACAAATCATTGATATCCCAATAACTCTTTTTTTATAGATGAGGAAAGGCGAAGAAAATGGATTACCTTAGGTCATATGAAGTTCAACAGAGTCAAATGAGTCAAAAATGTGTTATTTAAAAATGTTTAAATGTTAAGTGTTAAATGTTTTAAATGTAAATAAATATAATATGCAAAAGAAAAAACCAAGTTACATTTTATTTTTAGGGTTTCAGTGTTAATATAAAACTTCCTTTCAAGAAATATTATTTCTTAAATCAAGAAAAAAAATTTCTTGAAAGGAAATTTAAACAAGAAAGAATTTTTCTTGTTTAAAAGGTGCCTTTCTAAAAAACCCTTTCTTGTTTTAAGAAATTTAATTTCTTGAAACAAGAAACAAACCACCTTTGAAACAAGAATCGTCTTTCTTGTTTTAAGAAATATTTTTTCTTGTTTTTATGGTGGCTTTCTAAAAAACCCTTTCTTGTTTTAAGAAATTTAATTTCTTAAAACAAGAAATATTTTTTCTTGTTTTAATGGTGCCTTTCAAAAAAACCATTTCTTGAAACAAAGGTGAGGTCGCCTTTGGCAAAAATTCAAGAAAGAATTTTCTAGATTTTAAGGAAATTCTTCGATTTTTTTTTATGAGTGTATAATCAAGACGTTTCCAACGTGCTTTGATAGCGCCCACAAAACAAAACAGACAACAAACACCAAATACTTTAAGAAATATGTGAATGCCCAATAATCAAAGGTATTACCTTAAATTTATGCTAAATTAATGTTAGCCTTATTCTAATGGTCTTCCTAAAACGTAAACCTGCTTTCAAAAATCTTCAACTACTATTTATTTAATTTAAAGTTTTATTTTAAGTGTTTTTTGTAATAACTAAATATATATTCTCATTCTTTTAGTTCTACTCAAAAGAGTAGACAACACTTATTGTCGGCATATTTTTGGTTTCTGGGCTCTTGGATTAGTGGGATAACTAGAAAAGGGATTTTTGTATTTTTCACTACTTTAAATCTTGTGTTTTCCACTTCGCAGCATCGTTACAATAATGGAATAATGACACACCTCTAATGCCCCACACGCACTAACGTGGAGGCTATTTTTTTAGGGGGTACGTTTTTTAAAAGAAGTACAGATCTTAATATTGTATAATATTCATAGAATAATAATAGAATCTTAATTTTGTGTTAGTTATTTTCATATTTATTGAAAAATATGAATAGTGTTCCCCTTTCCAATAGAATTGATATCATTCGATATGATTTGACTTAATATATTTGATTGTCAATACTTTTGGAATAGAAACGATATCTTTCGATAAGTAACATTTCGATATTTACAGCTATTTGGTAAATTGAAAATAGGATAAGTTTCTAAAGCTCCCGATAAAGAAAATACTTCGATATGTAAGAGATCGATAGTTACAGTGATGTGGTAATTTCGATATATGTATGTACTTCCTGCAGCGATAAGAGATTCTTGTAGGGGGAGCCATTGACCCCCGAAACCCCCCAATGGGCTGCGCCACTGGCCACACATACACACACCCATACTGAGACCGAACAACTCCCACAGTTCACTTTCATTGATAAACTCGGCTCTTCGCTCTTCTTCTTCGCCATGCAAATCCAATTGTCTGCTACTTACTTTTTTTTCTGTTTCTCGTGGTGTGTGTGACATCAATCAGCATCACTTTGTAGTTGTTGTTTTTGCTTTTGTTGTTGCTGCGCTGCTGTATAATTTGTATTTTTCTTTTTTTTTGTGTTGTGTTGCTCGACAATTGAAGCTAACCAACATTAAACTATAACTTCCTCACAAACACACACACACTGCTCGATCATTCGCTTGCACTCTCAACAAAAACAACAAAAAATTATTATATTATTTTATATTATTTAAATTGAAATAAAAGAAAGGCCCGTCTTTTTTTTCAATATTTAAATCCTCACGCGCTTAATATCAAAGAACAGGGCCACTTTGTAGGACCCATTTAATTGTTTAAATGATTTATTAGTTAGTTTTGACATGGCAAAAAAAAACCAACTTTATTATCCGATTTACTTCGATCATTTATTACTTTATAACTCAATTAAATAATTAACGCCCGGTAGCAGTTCCGATTTGTTCTTTATCCCCGATATTTGCTTTAGTTTTCTTGATTCCGGTGCGATATTCACGCTGCTAACCGCCGACACAGAATGATGAAAATGCTGCCTTTCCGCCTAAAAAATCCAGTCAACTCTTAGACGAAACTCTTACTTACTTTATGAAACTCTTTCCATTTTCTTACGCTCTTACGCTCTCTGCCTCTCTGTCTCTCTCGTTACGTTTTGACTGCCGACACAGAATGAAAATGAAAATGAAGCGTGCGTGCGTCGCTGATATGATATTCGCTCTCTCGCCGCTCTCTGCCGCATCGCCTCGCACTCTTTGGCTCTCTTTGGTGCGCTCTTAACGCTGATTAAGCGTTAACGTTAAACTCTTAGACTAAAGGATCGTGTAAAACGATCATGTCACGTGAGTCGTGCTTAAAAGTCCCTTATCATGTTAGAAAGTCTTATAAGAATCATATTAAAGTCATGTTTAGAAGTACCTGTTTTACCAATGCTTAGTATTATTTTTAATTAAAATTCGAAATACTTTATTTCATACTAGTAAAGTACTAGCTTTTTAACTTATTTAGTAATTTTGTAAATGTTATTTTAATTTTGTAGATAAGATCATTATATGTGTACATTTCGGTAATCTTATAATTCGTACAACCACCTTTTCGAGAAACACTTTAAGTTCCATAAAAACTCCATTTAGTTATTTTTTATAATATAAACTTCTGTCTGAAAATGCTTAATATTTAAATTAATAATAGTACCTACCTATTTAATTTCCCTAAGTACTGCATTTCAGATATCTTTTAAATATTTAAGATTACTTACACTAATAAAAGTATTAATTTTAATACCGTAAATACAATTTTAATAAATTGTACATATTTAACTGCATACTTTTCGGTGGCCAAAAGAGGTTTCAAATCGCCATTTAACTACCGGAATACATTCGATTTTGTGAGGGAATCCTGGATACTATCTAGATTTTGGTGGGTGGAGCAGCATGTACTGCATCTTGCCGTACCAGGTGTCCTCGACGGGCGGCACGACCACCGGCAGCTGGAGGAGCTCCCCGCGGGCGAAGCGAACGGTGCGGAAGGATCGCCGCTGCCAGCAGGTGTCCATCACGAGGACAGGTCTTCCGCCGCGCTGCTCCTCCAGCCGATGCATCTCACTGTTCCGCCCACCGGCGCCTGCGGATGCCTGGCTTCCCTGGCGCCGCGAGACCATCGACTGGGTGCGATGGGCGATGCCCAGTGGACTGAGGCCCAATTCCACCTCCCTCACGCGACTCAGCAGATGCCGCGTGGTGCCCAGGCACATCTCATGCACCATGGTGATCTCGTCCAGCGCCCGCTTCTTGAACTCCACGTACTCCAGCCGGGTCTGGGTGCGCTCCAGGATCTTCTTGTAGGCCTCCTTCAGGTGGCGACCCATCTTGAAGAGCTCCCGCCAACTGGCGTAGAGATCCCGGGCATGGCGATACCGCTGCAGGCACTTGCCCGCCTCCAGCTGCTTGGTCAGGTGGAAGGAGAGCACCCGTTCGTGCTCCTGGCGACAGGTGACCAGCTGCCTCCTCTGCCGGATAAATAGGCGATCCAGGGCGAACATCCTGCCATTTCCCAGCTCCGAGCAGCGGATGAGTGCGTCCAGCTGGCGGCGCAGGCGAAGGTTGTTCAGCTGGAGGCTCCTCACATTCGCATCCCTGCTCCCGTTGAGGATCAGCCAGCGGGTGTCCTCTGGGTCCAGACCCTCCGCCTCCTGCAACTTGGGATCCTCGTGGGGATCGATGGCCAGCTGGGCCTGCATCTCGTCCAGCGTGCGGTTCATCTCGCCCATCTCTCGATTCATCTCATTCCAGGGAATCTCCTCGGCGGCCTCCGATGAGTGCTCCTCGCCCTCCTCCTCCTCTTCCGCCGAGGAGCACTCGACCTCCGGCTCACATTCCCGGCGGAACACCTCGTCCTTGTTTTTGACCTCCTTTTCGGTCTTCATGAATTTCTTCATCTTGGGAAAATGTTTCTTGGGTTTAAGTTTAAGTTTAAGTAACTAAAATGTGTGCTTTGTAAATATAGTAAGGAGTTTTTCGGAAAGCCTACTTGTGGCTTACAAAAAAGTCTGGAAAAATGCCAGATTCAAATATTATTTTTTCATAAAGGAAATTTAAAATTTGTATAGCAAAAAATTAATACTAAAAATGTATACAAAATCAAGCAAAAATAATAACATTTAAAAGAATTTCTTATTTAAAATTCCTGTAAAATATTAAAAAGTAACTTCTTTTAAAACTAGGCTTTTAAAAAATATCGATTTTTCCATATTTTTATAATACTTTAAGTCTGGAAAAAGTTTTTAAATTTAAAATAATATTTTTTATAAAACAAATTAAAAATGTGTATACCAAAAAATCAATACTTAAAATATATACAAAATCAAGCATAAATAATATGTAAACGAATTTCCTGTAAAATATTAAAAAGTAAAATTAAGTAAAAAGTAAACTCTTTTAAAGAAGGTCGTTTTATGAGCTTGAAAAATAACGATTTTTCCATATATTCAATCGATAAAATTAATGTTTTTAAGGAAAAAAACTAAAATCTAAGAAAAATCATTATAATTATGTTTATAATGAAACGTATAATAAACGTCATATTTCCGATAAACATCGATGTTTGAAAACTATCGACATTTCGATAACTCCGTTTTACAACAATTTATTGAATAAATCCAGGTTTTGAAATAAAATATTAAAAAAAAAGGATCATTAAATTAATAAGTATTATTATTTGTTTTTTTTTATGGTAATAAAAATAAACTTTTAACTAAATTTGGGATTTTTTTGTTTTGAATACCTAAAATTAAATTACAAACTTGATTTTGTAGTTTTATGTTAATAGATTTATTTGATACCATTTAACAAAAAAAAAAGTACAGAGCTTGTGATTCCGCAGATCCTTGGCACAGAAAACCAGGATGTTACACAAACCTCTGTAATAGTGTTGCAAATTGGATTTACAAATTAAGCGCACTTAGCGGTTACAACTACAACTGGGTTCCTAGCGATAAGATTAGTCCTTGAATTTCCCCAGCACGATCTCCTTGTAGAAGGGCACGCAATTCATGCGCACATTGAGCCTCGCGCACAGCAGGAAGATCCCCGACAGCTTGCGATGGATGGAGTAGATCTCCTCGGGCGGCGGACACAGCCGATGGGCCACCATGGTGGGCACCAAGGCGGCCAGTCGCTCGGTGGTGTTCTGCCTTCCGAAATCGAACTCGCCGTCGTAGCGAAAGATCTCGCCCAGAATCATCACGGCATCCACGTGGGCCTGCTCCATCTGCTTGGTTTCGTAGCCCGTGAGGAAGCCCATTTGGCGGGACATCTCCAAAACTCCCTGGCGATTATCCTCGGCGGCGCTCATTATGACACGCCTATAATTCCGGATGAACTCGTGCCGGTAGAAGCGCGTCGAGCCAAAGTCGATCAGCATGAGCCGCCGGCTGGGCGCATCGTACAGGAAGTTTGACCAATTGGGATCCGTCTGCATGCACTCGATCTCGAAGAGCTCGCGCAGGCAGAGCTTCAGCACGGAGGCGGCTATGTGGGCACGATGTTGGTAGCTGTGGGGTAAATAAGGGGTTTTAGTAGGGGGTTTTATAAGTTAGACCTCGGATTTTGCATATTTTTATAGGATAAAAGATAGATCAATTCCGAAAACACCAAAGGCATATTTGCATAAAATGCTTATGCATAATATATGCAAAATATAAAATAAACTCAACTATTCAAGATTGAGCATTTAATTTAACCGAAGAAAATTGTTTGTTCCTTTTCGTCATTTCTGAGATATCTAATTTTTTGCCAAATTTAAGGAAACCCTATTTATATTTCCAACGAGTAGGCGAGAAGGGGGCAAAAATAGTAAATTGCTCGCCGTGTTTACTGAAGGTTCCTTAGAATACCAGAAGGCTGCATTAAAAATTTGAGCCTCCAGTTGTTCGCAAATATTTTGCATATATTTTGCACATTTTATGCATATATTTTGCATATTTTATGCATATATTTTTTGCATATATTTTGCATACTTTATGCATATATGTTCCCTATTTTCCATATTTTATGCACATATTTTTTGCATATATTTTTTGCATATATTTTTTGCACATATTTTTTGCATATATTTTGCATATTTTTTGCATATATTTTGCATATATTTTGCAAATATTTTTCATATTTTATGCATATATTTTTGGCCCATATTTTTTGCACATATTTCCGATATGCATCCGAATTTATTACCTAAAATTTTGGTAAAAATCGGACCAAAAATGGACAAATATGCAAAAGGTCTATTTATAAGGTAACAGAAATACCTACCTCAAATCAAAGCACTTGTCGAGGGGAACTCCCGGCACCAGTTCGGTGGTCAGGACACTCGAGGTGGTCAGATCGCGCACCACCCGGGGAACATAGTATTCCGGGTAGGGGGCGATCATCTCGCGGAACTTCTCCGTATATTCCGCCTCGCGTTCGTAGTCCACCTCCCATTGCAGCTCCCTCTTGGCCACGCGCACCACATTGTCGATGAAGAAGCCCTGCGGGAAGACATCCCAGACCTTGAGCATGCCCACCAGGTTATCAATATCGCTCTCGATGCTCTGGGCCACCCCGGGATATTGTATCTTGATGGCCACGGGCATTCCATCGCCTTTGAGCGTTGCCCGATGCACCTGGCCAATGGAGGCGGCGGCAAAGGGCTTCTCCTCGAACGTCTGGAGACGCTGCCGCCAATCGGCGCCCAGCTGGGTGTTCATCACGCGCTCCACCTGCCAATCGGGCATGTAATCCGCCGCCTGACGCACTCGCTCGAAGGCTTTGGCCAGTTGCGGGGACACAACACTCGAGTCCTGGATGCTTAGTATCTGGCCAATCTTTAGCGCGGCTCCTCGCACCTTGCACAGCGTGTCCACAATGCGTTCGGCGTTCGCCGGGCTCAGTAGAGCCTCCCGCATGCTGGTGGAGCCGCCCAGACCAAGTGCTCCCTTGGTCAGTTCGTTGAGGGTTCCAATGCCCAGACCGGCAAACAAACCGCCAAAGGAGGCCATCCTGCCCAGCCGCGAAGAGGGCACCTTGCGCTGCTTGGCCACCTGGCTCAGCTGGGGTGTTTCTATGGGAGGAACCTGCTCCTCCTCCTGGGTTTTTGCACCCGCCACAAAGCGCAGCACATTGTTCACATACTCGGTGTCCTGGATGATTCCCGGTGGCTGCTCCGGCTGCTTTTGGCTTCCCTGGGTAGCTGGCGTGCGCAGGCTAACGTTGCGATCCTTGTTCCTGCGCGACAGGATCTCCTCGAACTCCTGCAAAGTGATGGAGGAGATGTCCAGGTTGGCGGCATCGAAATTTCCTTGATTTTGGGGTTTCCCTAGAGGTTTTCCGGGTTCAGCCGACGGCTGTTGCCCTGAATCCCCTTGTGACATCTGCATTTTGGTCTGGAGCAGCGAGCAGATGCCCTGGGCCACCACGTAGCCACGTTCGCCGGTTTCTTGCAGGGATTGCTGCAGTTTTCGCAGCTCCTCCGTGGGATTTCTGCCCGTATTCCTCGCCAGCTGTGTGGCGTGTGCGGCATTCGAGGCGATGAGCTCACGAATGCTCGAGTTGCTCCACAGGTGACGACCGTGGGCGAGGTGCTCCCGCCCACACGCCTCCAGCAGAATCCGCAGTCCGCGCAGCAGAGCGGCCGCTTCTTGGGCGGATCGCGACATCGCCGGGGAGAGGAGGAGGATGGGGGTAGACTGGTTTCTCTCGCAGATTACGTAAATCGCGTGGGAATGTCGAAATATCCAACAGAAAATAAGAAGCAGCGCGCAATGTTGTGAAAATGCCGAAAGGCGACAATCAGCTGGCAAATCAGCTGGGCAACCAGTGCTGCCAGTCTGGTCTTTTTTGAATAGCTACTTCTAGCTTACATAGCAAGCCATTTCTAGCTACTGTAAACTCAATCAATCTATTCTTAATTTTAAAAAATATATAACATTTTTTATAATTAACTTGTATTCTATATTTTTTAAGGTTGTGTTCAGAACTTCTACTAAATTTAAGTAAGTATTTTTTAAAACCAGCTGTTGCCTTTATAGTTTTTTTTCATAGAGACTTCCAGCTATTTATAGCTTTTTAACCTTGCATTAAGCTATTTTTAGCTTTTTTTAAAAATATATTTATTTTTATTTTGTTTTTCTTCTTAGCGACTTCCAGCTACTTTTAGCTCCTTAGCGCTTAAATATATTAACATTTAAATTAAAAAAAAAATGATCTGTCATACAACAAAATTTTCAAATATTTTAAGCAAAGTAAAAAAAAATTGTTCCTAATTTGTATATTAAATAAAAAGTATTGAATACTTCAATCAAAGTCTAAAACCCTGAAATTATTATATTTTAATTCCTATTTAGATGAATATCGAAGCAAACTTAGTAAAATGCATAAAAAATGTATGGTTTTTAATTTCATCTTCAAAAAGCTATTTAAAAAACCTTTAAATATTTTAAAAAATAGATTTACTGAATATGTCAAATCGAATTTATTTCTATATGTTGTAAAAGAAAAACACCGTGAACCTGCTAAAGTGGCCCGGCGACAGAGCCCACATTTATTCAGCAGCCTAGCTTAGGTCGTAAAAAATATTATAAGATTAAGTTTGTGTACCGCAAATCCAAATCACACGGGAATAAACATGTCTATATACAAATTTGTGACTAACTAGTTGGGTTTAAGCTATAAAATTGCACTACAGCCACGCGACAGGCACAGCGATTTATTTTGGTATCCCGGATCCTTAGTCCTACTTCCTGGGCAGGCGACCGGCACGCTCCAGGGTGGGATCCTCGAGCTCCCAGGCGGGTCGGTAGCCACCCGGATCGCAGGAGCAGGCACAGGCACAGTCGCACTCCGATTCCGGGCGTCTGAGGTGCGGATTGGGAATCGTGTTGGATCGATTGCCGATCGAGGTGTAGCCCCGATCGTACAGACTGCAGTAGGGCACCGAGTTCAGGTGGATGTAGTGCCAGACGTCGTGGTAGCTCCACTCCAGCAGGGGATTCAGGCGCATCATCGGCGGCCAGTCGTTGTCCGTGGGCTGAAAATTAAAGGAACATTAGGTTTTTCATTCAATTAAAATTTAATTTTAAATATAAATGTGTAATAAACCGCTTATGTAAAAATACTTATACTCATGCTAGTAAATTATACATTATTATTTATTTAAACAATACATTTAAAACTAAAAAATACATTTTATGGTTTAAGACTTCTCGTAAATAAATTATAAATATAATAAAATTAACTATTAACTTAAAAACTGGATTACTCAATGAAAAAACTACTAACCTTGTGGCATACAAGTTTTAAATATTTAAGGATTTTAAAAACTAAGAAAACTACATATTTTCTATTGAATTTTTTTATATTTTTTGTCACTGAGGAACCATAAACAAGTCATTAACCTTGTGGGGTTCTTAAAAATCAATTAATTCTGAATCAAAAATGAAAAATACACATTTTTTTCATAAAATACTTGAGCTGATTTTACGTGCTAGATAGGTAATTAAACCACAGACACTTCAACTCGGTTATAAGTACGCCCTTATCTGCGGCATAGCGACATGATAAATAAAAACTCATATCAGAGTGACATTTGTAAAGGTTAAAGCTATGGTAATGCTTTTGATGTGAAACTTAACATTCAAGAATATTCTGGATCAGGGGACTTTCTAGATACTCGACTATCTTTTATAATTTTGTCCAGAGTTAATTCTGAAGATATTATACTCGGTAAGGTAAAATAATAATAATATGGATTTTATGTGTTATTGAAAATTTGACTATTTTTCATAGAAAAAAATAAAAAAAAATAAATAAAGTAAATCATCATTGTTCCGCTTTTATCGCTTATTTAAAAAAAAATAAATAAATTGAACTTTCAACTATCATATTATCATTTTTCAAGAGATTTCATCGATATAATGCAGTTTTTAATCATTATTTCGTTACACAAAAAAATTGATAAGAGATCAGATTGATATGTGCTGGTCAAGTTATTCATATCATTTTGATATGAATAAAGATTGAGTTTATCTCACTTATTGGTTCAAAAAATACTAAATGTAGTATTTCATGTGATATGATGAAATACCAATTTGATATGCTTGAATCGTAGATTTGACATGAAATATCGGTTTTTTCATTGATATTCACCCTATTTCATATCGAATTTGTTTTGTCCACCTCACCTGCATGGGCGCCAGGTGCTGGCAGTAGGGATCCGTGTTCCGGCTGCCTACGAAGACGGCCCGGATGCGCGGCATGTCGGCGGACATGTGGGTGAGGGCCTCCTTGAGCGAGCCCTCGTACTCCACCAGCTGGACGCGATAGTTGCGGACGCATCTGTCCACAAAGTGATCGATCTCCGGGAAGGAGTCACCCGACTTGATGTACAGCATGGGAATGTCGCCGCTGGAGATGCTCTCCTGGCGCAGGAAGCGCATGAGGAGATCGAGGAGGACGGTGCAGTCCTTGCCGCCGTTGAAGCAGAAGATCAGCTCCTCGACGCCGTAGATTTGCAGGGTCTGCGCGAAGAATTCGAAGGCCTTTCGCTGCCGCTCCTCGATGGCCAGGCGGTCGGCGGGGGGAATTTCCCGGGGAATATTAGAAAGATCCTTCGATGATCCTGATCCCGATGACGTCATCATGCTACGCTTCTCCGCAAACAAATGCTTTTTCTGGGTTATTATGTTGTTTTGGATGTTGTTGTTGGCTTTGGAGGCGTTCATTGTGTTTAGTGGGCGGGGGCGTGGCCTTGCCCTGGCCAGCAGTAGCGATGACGTCACAAGCTGTAAGAAATAAGGGAAGAAATGAATTAGGAAAACAAACAAAATAAAAAAAACTTTCTCCCAATTTCTGCGTGCGTGTGTGTGTTAGTGTGTGCACTTGTATGGTTGTGTGGCTATTGTTTTTATGTAACCGAAAAAACTAACTTAAACTTTAGTTTTAACGTGGTAAATGCTGCGGCGGTTGAAGTGCAACTGATTTGGCTTATCAGCCAGCCAAAAATTACATCACATTTCGTATTAAAAGCAAAAAAAAAGCCAAAACCTCAGGCACACACACACGCACACAGGCGTATAAAACACATGGCACACGCACACTCACCCAACGGCTCATATACTTTTTGTTGTTGTTGTTGTTGTTGCCACGGCAATTTACTGGCACATTTAACTATTTTTTTTTTGCGCAGCGATTATAATGCAATTATTCCAATTCCATTTTGTTAATTATTATTCCGCGCCAGTGAATTCCCTACCTTAAATGCAACAACAGCAAAAAACGAACGGCGGCAAAAAACAACAACAAATGCTCGAAGCTTCGCGGACTATCGGTGGGTCAGCTGTTCTCATCGGAATTATCGATAGCACGCGATTGGAGCGGTGAGTAGCTAGATTTAAAAAAAAGCTAAATATTTTTAACTTTTTTCAAATTGGTTTCTGAATATGAAAAAAAACCAATAATAAATATTTGATAAATTTAATTATATGTAACATATATATTAATTTTTTGTATTCACCCAGAAAAATATCTCAAAAATCTTAAATATTTGTTTCGTTTTTATTTTACAAACAACAAATCGGTGTTTGTGTGTGTTTAACAACAACAAAAAGCGCAATAAAAATGCGCTCTATACATGTAATAAATGGGCACTGTTGGCGTTACTCTGGGTGTGTTTCCTTTTTTCATTTCGTCCTGGCTTGTGGCTTCTACACAGAGAGAAAATATCACAAAATTGTGGGAATCTCAGCTTATCAACGTGTGGTTCATTAACAATAAATTTATATTTTAAATTTCATAAAATTTCCACTTGGTTTTGATTCAGTTTCAGGCCAAAACATTACAAATCCCATTTAAATTCACTTATCTTAGACATAAATAATTAAGAACTAAGTGTTTTGCCTAGAAGGCAGAAATATGTATAAATGGCCAGCAATTCCTCAAGAATATTTTTTGAAACAAAAAACAACTGGTGATTTGACATTAAATATTTTCAAAATTTTTAGAAACCGATAGACTTTCTTTAATTACCAGCTGATAGTATGCTGTTTTATAGAAAAGATGCAATGTGACCTTGCTTGTAATCAAAGCAAATTTTGAATCATTTTCTAAAAGCCTTTTTAAATTAAGATTAAGGCTATTTATCCTTTGATTTTCTTTTTTCAAATGACGCAATGTGACCTTGCTTCCAATTAAAGCAAATTTGAATAATTCCTATCACTGACCCAAATACAATATTTTCGTGTGTAGATCCTCGCACAGTTAAACATCCAAGTTATCCAGGATATTGTCGATGAGACCGTAGACCTTCTGGCGAAATAGCCGATTCTGCTTGCCGTTCATCTCCTTGAGGTACGGATGCAGGCTGATCAGAAAGGAGTAGTCGGCATCCGGTGGCGATGGAATGGATCCCAAGGCTGGCGTGGCCGGCGGCGGTGGCGTGGTGTGATTCAGGTGACTGAGGTGGTTGCCCTTGAACCACTGCGACAGATCCGTCCAGTCCAGGTGGCTACCCAGAGCAGCGGCCGGCACCGTGACAAGGGACTGATGGTTCACCATCCTCTCCAGCTGGTGATTCGTGGTTGGCTGCTCCACCTTGATGGCCTGCAGGCGCAGAGGCAAACAGGCGGTGGGTGGCTCCTGATCTCTCCTAGGAGACGAGGTTTCCTCCTCCTCCACCTCGGCAACCTGCACATCCAGCGGCATTTCGCTGTCGCTCTCCTTGGCCTCCTCCTCCTCCGCCGCCTCCTCCTCGACGTCCTCCTGCTGATTTCGATCCGGAAATATGGTCACACTGGCGGACGATGTGGCATTACCCGGTTTCCGAAGGACCATGCCAGCCGCAGGACTTCCGGTGGCAGCTGTCACCTGCTTTTGACAGGATCGCGACTTGGTGTAGGGAATGAGGAACTGCAGGTACTTGGACAGGTAGTATTTGCGCTTCCCGCGACCCGTTTGTGTGTGTGCCAGCTTCAGGGATCGGAGGAAGCTGCTCCTTATTGTGCGCCACCTCTCGCGGCAGTTGCGCACTGAAAAGAGTCGAGGGGAAATATTTATCAATTTTATTATTTCGGTTTTTTTTTTTTAATTAGAAGGTTTACAGTTGATTGGGAATTTTTGGGATCTGCGAAGTGTCTTTTAAGATTATCACTCATACGCACTGTTGCCTTTGATCTAAACGTTATTCCAATCATTTGAGAACTATTTTTTTTCGACTAAATACTAACTGTCATACAAATTTAAGCCACATTTCGCAAAGTTCAAATCTAAATAAAAAAAATTTTCATGAATAAAAATAGCATTTTTTGGATATATAAAACAAATTTTGTTAAACAAAAATTGAATTTAGCTTGATCAACATAAACATAAATCAAGTTAAAAAAAACATTCGAAAATTCAGCAATATCAAGTCTAATGAAATGTATAAGACTTTAATCAAGCTTAATGTTATTAAAAAAAAAGGATTCCAAGACTTGCATTTCAATTTTTTCCAGTGTATTTTTGCAAAGTGCAGCAATTGCTGAGCAAAAGCAAAGGCAACGGTAAAACGAAAGGCAAACGCAAAAGCAGCAACAAATTGCGAGTAAAAACTGCGCGACACAGTGACACACCTACACAGACAGCAATTGCATGCGATACGCACACCAGCGCACAAAAGCTTGCATCATAGACACACACACACACACGCACAGCGAATTGAGCACGCAATTGGCGGTGAAGAAGAAGAATTTGTTTTTTTCCCCTATTTAATATAGTTCTTTTTTTCCATTTGCTGCTGATTTACCCGTGTCCTTGATCTCATTGGCCACCTGCTGCCACGCCCTCTGCACCTCCTCCTTTTTGCTATATCCCGGATGTGTGTAGTTCCACAAACAGGGCTGATTTTCGACGAACTGCACGAACCGCACGTTGAAAACGGGATCGTCCTTGCGGGCCATTGTGACCCAGCACATGCCTCCGTCCCGCTCTCGCACACGCTAACGGTACTTCGCACATGCACAGGGGCGCAGCTAAAAGGGGGCAGCGGCCGACACAAGAGGGGCGCCGAAAAACGAACAAAGGGGGGTTCCAAAAACTTAAAGGGGAGCAGCAACAACTGCTCGCAGCGGCCGCGCAACCAAAACTGAGCGTTAAAAATCCCACTGCGCGCAAATTGCAAATTGCAAATAGCAACAAAAGCTGCAGCGCAAACACTTTATGCTGTGCACAAAAACAACAAGTGGTAATAGTTTTCGGTTTCGAGGAGGGGGCGACGGGATCTAACGACCAACAAATGCCCTACGCTCAAAAAAAAGTTTTCTATATTAATAAAAATGTTATTTTATTTATTTATTTAATGAGAACATCCTTGTGATTTATGTTTTTATTAGAAAAACTCCGATTTTATTTGAAAGTATTTTATTTTTAGAGCATTTTTTTTTTCAATAACAAATTCTTATATACAAATATTTGAAAATTCGTTAATACTTTATGGAGGCAGTTTACCTTATAAAAGTATCAAGAGTAAGTATTTTGGAAAACCTAACTAAATACATGACTAATAGGAAGTTCATTTCATTATTCTTATTATTTTAAAAGAAAAATATATTTAAATAAACCTATTACACAATAAATAAATTATATGCATAATGCATAATACAAATATGTTTTTATTTACTCCATCTCAATTTATACCGCTTTCATATCTTAAAACGAAATATCCAAAATTGAAAATATAAGTCCAAAATTACGATACTAAATATTCGATTATTTCGATGTACCTCGATGACTGCGCGACTACCGCATATCGAAAAAATCAACGCCAAACAACAGCTGCAGCAGTGCAATATAAATTGTATAAGCAATGCAATTCAAATGCAGCACTTGCAGCGTTTGTGTGTGTGCGTGTGCGGGTGCTTGTGTGTGGATGTGAGATAAAAAGCTCTTGCGATGACGTCACATGCTGCATTTGTTGCATGCGATTCAAATGTAATGACCGCAAAAGCAATCAAATACAAAAGACAGTAAATACAAATGAGGCTACAAATTGCTGAATGCTTACATACTAAAGCTCATAATTTTTTAATAATTTAATCATAAATTAATTTGAATTTTAAAAACTCCCTACAAAATGTAAATGACGTTTAGCAAGCTCTGAAATATTTAAAAATGTAATTTTTTTGTCGATGGATTATTAATTTCTTTAAAAACTATATGTTTTTGTTTAAGCCGTTGCCATTTTCGCGGTAATACTTAAAAATTCTGGGTTTTATTATTACGTACACTTAAAAAAAAAAGATATTAAGACACAAAAACCCAGATCCAATTTTTAACAAAAAAATAATTCGTTCTTTAACCGTAACAATGGAAATATTGATCCAAATATGGACTGTCGTACCTTTCTGAACTCGTTATTAAATTTCAAATCGATTGGCATTTAAACCTGGACATTTTATTTTTTTGCCATTTTTCTTAAAAAAATCGTGATGTATCCCCTTATAAAAAAATTTAAAATGGGCGAAAATTTTCTTTTTCCAAAATCACACTTAAAGTGTTATGGATTCTTTTGTTATTTTGTTCTCTGTTCAAAACAGTGTGCATTTTTGGTTTAGAACCATTTTTGGCCAAGTTACAGCAAAAAAACAATAAGAACAATTCAAATTTTGGTCAAAAAATCAGATCCCAATTTTTCACAAAATAATAATTCGTTTTTTGACCGTAACAATGGAACTACTGATTTAAAGTATGGATTGAACTCGTTATTAAATTTCCTATCGATTGGCATTTAAACCTGGACATTTTATTTTTTTGACATTTTTCGTAAAAAATATGATGTACCCCCTTATAAAAAAATTAAAAATTTGCGAAAATTTTATTTTTCAAAGATCACCCGGAAAGTACCATGGATTTATTTATTATTTTGTTATCTGTTCAAAACAGTATGTACTTTTGGTGTAGGACCATTTTTGGCCAAGTTACAGCAAAAAACGAAAAGGAAAAATTCCTATTTTTACCAAAAACCCAGTTCCCAATTTTTCACAAAAAAATAATTCGTTTTTTGACCGTAACAATGGAAGTATTGGTCGAAATATGGATTGTCATACCTTTCTGAACTCGTTATTAAATTTCAAGTCGATTGGAATTAAAACCTGGACATTTTATTTTTTCGCCATTTTTCGTAAAATTTTACGAAATTTTAATTTTAAAAAAATTAATAATTGGCGAAATTTTTATTTCTCCAAAAACACCCGGAAAGTGTCATGGATTTATTTCTTATTTTGTTATCTGTTCAAAACAGTTTGTGTTTTTGGTGTAGGACCATTTTTGGCCAAGTTACAACAAAAAAACAAAAATAAAAATTTCCATTTTTATTAAAAACCCAGATTTCTATTTTTCACATCCTGGACATTTAATTTGTTTGTAATTTTTTCACCTACAATTGAAATAGTACGGTTTAGCTTGAAAAAAGTACCGATAGCTTCCCGCCAAGTGAAGTAATCGATATAGTATCGCCGCATTGGCGCATCACTAGCTGGCCGGAGCATATGTAACAATTGGGAGTAATTTATTTTTAAGGAAAAACACCCGAGATTCCCACGAATAACATGGCAGCCAGTGGAAAATTGATGCTGGGCAGCGGCCTCTGCCGAAAGCTGAGCCAGGTGAGCACTTACCGATAGCTATTCCAGTGAAGAAACGACTAAAATCGCTTGAAATCCGCACAGTTCACCAGGCAGCTGCATACGCAACCGGCGCTCTTGTCCAGTTTTCGGTCATCCCGCGAGGTGCAGCCGCTGGACAAGTATCCCGACGTGGAGGTGGTGGCCCAGCCGCCCGAGTGGCGCTTCGTGGAGCGCCTGCTGCCGGCGGAGACGGTGCCACAGCCGGTGGAGCGACCAAAATACCCATCCGGCTGGCGGCCGCAGAGGGAAAATGGATCGCAGGCGGGCTACTTTGTGGCCAGGACCAAGAACCACATGGTGCCGGTCTACCTGCAGACCCGGTTCCGTGGCCAGCGACGCATCACGGTGGTGCGCCGCGTCCAGGGAGACATCTGGTCGCTGGAAAAGGACCTGCGGGCGGTGGTGGAGCAGTCGCGGAACGGGAAGCTCTGCGCCACCAGGATCAACGAGCTGAGCGGACAGATTCACTTCCACGGCGACCATGTGGACGTCCTGCGGGACTATCTCAAGGAGAAGGGCTTCTAGGAGGTCCGCCATCTGCCGCAATAAACTCGTTTTCTGTTGATTTAAAAGAATTGTTGGATTATTGATTGAAATTAGGTATTTAGATAGAGAAAACATCAGAATATCTTTCAAAAAATTGGATTTTCTAGTCCTGTAAGGGATTTTAGACACTTTTGTAGGCGAACTTCAAAGAGAAACTTTTATAAATTATGTTTTTGAGATTTTCTATTGAATTAAATGAACTTTCGATTAAAATCCGGGATAAACATGGAGAAAACATCTGAGAATTGCAGAATATCCTCCAAGAACTTGGATTTCCTATTCCTGTAAAGGATTTTACACTAATTTTTTAGATTTTCTGTTGATTTAAATGGATTTTCGATTGAAATCAGGGATTAACATTGAGAAAACTTCAAAATATCCCCCAAGAACTTGGATTTTCTACTAGCTTAAAGAATTAGACAAACGAAAACCATTATCTTCGATTTCTGTTGACCGCACATCCACTTGGCTGCAGTTCGCTTTTATTTAGCACTTAACGTTTAGCATAAATTACATCGTCTGGATATTTTTGTTATTCTGAGAGTGGTGCGCGCTCGGGCCTACGACTAAAATCTAGAGGAAGTGTGAGGAGTTCAGTAAGGAGGGGCGGACTTAGCACTTAGCGTAATAATAAGTCTGGTTCGGGCTCCGTGGAGCTCTGCTGCTGCTAATCTACATTTGCGGCTGCTGCTGCGGCTGCCTCCTTCGTCAGGTACGCGGCGTCAGGTGGGCGTGGGCGTAGGACGCAGCTGCCACGCCCCACCGCTATCCGCTGGCCCCGGCCATTGCGGGCATTCCGGTTAGACTGACGCCGGAAGTGGGCGTTCCTGTTCCCCCGCCGCCTCCTCCTCCTCCGCCGCCCGTCGACGAAGCAGATCGCTTGAGCGCCTTGCGGATGATCGTCCAGTCCTCCATGATGTCCTCCTCGCGCAGCATGTAGACCACATAGGGGCCCGTGACGGTCACCGCCTTCTTGCGGCCCGGCCCACGCACCTTGCTCTGCCGCTTGTCGGTGCCCCAGTCGGCCCACGAGATGTCCACGTTGTGGCGGTCCTCCTCCAGCCGCCGGATGCGGTCCACGAACTCCTCGCGCAGATTGTCCACCGCCATGTGCTTCTCGCTCTGTAAATTAGTAGGTGTATGTTATAAATGGTTTATAGAGTGAGTAAATCGAATTTGGGGTTAACAAAAACAGAATTCTGGAAGAAATAATCATTAAAATCTGTAATTAGAACTAAGATAACCGTCATTTAGAAGAAATTCTGTAATTTTTAAAGGCGAATCCTTTGCTAAAATCAATAATTACCAACTAAGTCAACTTACGAATTTATGATATAAATTTAGGATTCAAAATAATCAACATTATTCAACTGATTCTGTAAGAATAAATGGTATAAAAGCTAAATTCTTAATAAATTTAACCAACATTTAACAACAATCCTTTTCCGAATAAATATATCATTATATTTGGTCAAAGACTCAGGAAAAACTTATACAATTTTATATAAAATCGAATCTCTTGCTAAAACCACAAATTCACTGATAAACCCTATAGATATGATATCTAGGATGATATATATTGATAACGAACATTTAAAACAATCAATAAATACCATTAAAGAATGAAAATATCATAATAATTGCTCAAAAACTCAGCAAAAACCTGAAGAATAAATTCCATAAATTTACATCAAATCTAATCTTGTGTTAGAACCACTAATTAACGATATAATATACATTTATCAACATTTAAAACCATCCTTAATCATTAAAAACCCTTGAAGAATGAAAATATCATCCTAATTGTTCAAAAACTGAGTAAAAATCTCAAGAAAAAATTCTACAATTTTACATGAAATCTAATCTCAAGCCAAAATCACTGATATACCCTATAGATCTGATATCTAGGATGATATATATTGATAACCAACATTTTAAACAATCCTTAATCAATAAATACCATTAAAGAATGAAAATATCATAATAATTGCTCAAAAACTCAGCAAAAACCTGAAGAATAAATTCCATAAATTTACATCAAATCTAATCTTGTGTTAAAACCACTAATTTACGTTATAATATACATTTATCAACATTTAAAACAATCCTTAATCATTGAAAACCCTTGAAGAATGAAAATATCAACATAATTGCTCAAAAACTACCTAAAGACCTCAAGAATAAATTCCAGAACCTAACAAAATCTAATCAAGTGCTATAATCACTGATTAACCCCATAGACATGTAAACCCATCCAATGGCAATCCAATAATCGCCTTCTTGGACCCTCTCACATTTTGGCGCCAAAAAGCGTAGAAAGTACCTCAAAGTGCTGGACGGCGGCCTGCTCCTCGGACTGGAACTTGTGCTCGATGTTCTGCAGGCGGTACTTGCGCAGCACGTCGGCCACCTCGATGCGCGTGCGGTAGACCTTGTCCAGCTCCTTCTGCGGCTGCACGAACTCCTCGGAGCGCCCGGAACGCACCTCCGCCAGCTGCCGCTCGATGAGATTGATGCGCTCGAAGTAGTACTGTTCCCGCAGCGTGTTAAACTGCCGCTCCAGGCTCACTGAAATGGAAGAATCCCAATGAAAAAAGCTGGACGGGATTGGGGAGCCCCCCGCCCAAGGGATACCCACGCAAATCCTCCATATGCTCCGCCCGCCGGCGCTCGATTTCGCTGGCGTCCAGCTCCGAGGAGTCGTCCGAGTCGCACTCGTTGGCCTCCTCCTCGTCGGAGGTGTCGTGCGCCTGGCTGGAGTTCGAGTGCTCCGATTCCCCGCCAGAAACGTCGCCCTCGCCATCGGAGTCGCCGTTCTTCACCGGCATTTTTAAGGGTTAAGGCTGAGGGTTAACGGCGGCTGCTCGGGGGTTTCCCTTAGCTTAGTTTTTGCGGCTCCTGGGGGCGCGGAAATCGAGGAAATCGTGGAAAAGTTTCGTGGAAAAACACAAACTGCGAGTTGTAGCAAAAATTAGAGATGGGGAAACTAGGGAAAATATTGCACACACGGTCACACTCAAATTATCGATTGCAAATCTAGCTATATTCCTTACTAGAGTTCTAAACTACGACTATTTTTTTTATTTTTAAATATTTTAGCAATACATAATTCTTCTGATTTAATTTTTAGTATTTATTCCATTTGATCATTTCTCTAAAATTCTTGATTTAATAAATACTATTTTTAGGGTTTTTCCTAAACTTTTAAACTTACATTTTGAAATCAGATAAGAAATCAACTTTTTTAGTTCTTCTTTCCTTACTTTTGTGACTAGTGCATTAATTTATAAGGAAATCCTCGTACCACCAGGAAATATGAAAGAAATAAATAAAATAAATGACAGAGTTTCACCTTACTTAAATGTTTATAAAATAAAATGTTTGATTTTAAAAATTCAAAAGAAAAATATTGGAGTTTTTCCCTTCATAACTCTGATTCTTAAATTGCTCAGAAATTCTACAGAAAATTACAGAAATTACGTTTTTTTATAATTTTTAAGTTATATTTTCTAGCTATATCTAGCTTTTTAATTACTCGAAGAGTTAGTCATATTTGACATGCCTGAATCTAGCCAGATGGCCACCACTAGCTCGCTATCGATAACCGATGAGCCATCGCTGCCAGCAGATATTTTTTTGGGGCCAAGTGGAAAATACGTGTAATATTTACAAATAGACGAAGAACCGACAGCCCAAAATGGAGACTCCCACGGCCGACGATCTGCTGCAGTTTCGCGACTACAGCGGCGGCGGTGCCCCGGCCCAAATCAACGTTAACTCGCCGACCCACTCATCGGGTGGAGGAAGTGGAGGATTTGGAGGAGGTTCCGGTAATTCAGGTGGTGCCAACAACGCACAGCGTCAACGCGGCGATCCGCTGGCGGATCTCATCTACGACATGACCAGCTCGGCGCAGGGATCTCCTGCTGGCGGCGGTGGAATCCCCGCGCAGAACTCCTCCTCCCTGGACGGATCCTCCGGCGCAGCTGCGGGCGCCCGACTCTCCTTCCTGACCATCGAGTACTACCAGCAGTTCTTCAACGTGGACACCTACATGGTCCTCGAGCGGATCGCCAACTCGATGATCCCCAAGCGGGCGGCGGGCAACTATCTGCGCATGAACATCGGCGAGAATCCGGATCTGTATGGACCCTTCTGGATCACCGTCACCCTGGTTCGTTTTTTTTCTTTGAGAAGATTCCCTTGTTTTTAAGAAGAAAACCCACTTTTGGGGAGAGTTTTAACCAGTTAAGCCTATAAATTAACAAGTTTACTATGGAAACTGTAGTATTATCCATAAAAAGGAAGTTTTTTATTTAAATTTACTATATTATCTGCCAAATATTCAGTTTTTTACAGATTCCACTTGATAGGAACTTTCTAAATATTTACTACAAATTTTACCAACTTCTTTTAATATTATTCCAAAGAGCAAACCCCTTTTTAACCTATAAACTATACAGTTTAAAATAGGAAATAATATTATGAACCATAAAAAGGTAATTTTAAAAAAAAATTACTATACTTTTTGCAAAACTATCCGTTTTGTAAAGGTTTCTAGTTTTTAAGAATTAGTTGAATTATTAAAATTTTAAATTTTCTATGCTTTAAACCTTATTCCAAAACACTTTAATGTTTTCAAAAAGCTAAATTTTATGAAAATTTTCCAGCTAATTAAATAATAAATGTAATTTATTAAAGCATTTTTGAAAGGAAATCCACTTTGAATAACATTAGAAGGTAATTTAAATGATTATTAGAGCATGAATTTGATAAGGAATACGCTTTTGGGAAGATATTCCAATTCAGAATGTGATTTTTCAATATAGAGTTTAAAACAATCAGAAAATCCAAATCCCAAAATCAGGAAACTTTTAAGTAATTTCATAGTAATTAAATTTTAATGTATACCTATATTTCAGATCTTCTCCATTGCCATCAGTGGCAACATAGCCAGCTACTTGCAGCATGCCAGCGACAGCTACCACTGGCACTACAACTTCCATCTGGTCTCCTATGCGGCCACCTGCATCTTCCTGTACGCCAACCTCTTGCCGGCCGTCCTGTGGGCCTTGTTTAAGTACAGCCTGAAGCCCGTGGATGCGGCGGACGAAATCGAAACGGATAGCGTAAGTTTAAGTGGTCACTTTATCCCTTCATTCATCCATCTCGCTCACATTCGCACACTTTCCGCATTGCAGGCCACCTACACTCCGAGTCTCTTGTCGCTGATGTGCATCTACGGCTACAGTCTGGCCATCTATATACCAGTTTCCATTCTCTGGGTGATCAATGTAAGATATTGGGAAATATAGAAAATATCTAGCCTTCATTTTCCCTGCTAGTTTTCGAATGTAAGCCGTAGCTATGCAGAAATTTTTAAAGATTTTGATATCATTTACGTATAATATTTATTTATGGAAAGAGGTTTTATAAGGTTTATTTATAAGATTAAATTTCAGTTATTAAAACGTAGGTTTTAATTGAATTTTAATTAGTTTCATTTAGGTAGGCTATAATACTATATCTGTACTCTTCATTTTGGTGTAAATTATGAGAGGAAGCAAATGTTTTATTAAATACTGCTTTACCAGAGACAACAAGAATGATATTCAATATCATATATCTTGTAAAAAGCTTGTTAAAAGCCAGCCATTAATATCTTACCAATTTATTTATCTATTTATACATACAAAACTGTCTGTTACAATTTAAGAATCAACGCAGAACTCAAGCTTTTAAATCTAAAATATAGAAAAGGTTTTTCATTTAAGTAATTGATGAAATTGTTAGGAAACTATATACTATCCAAATATTCAAGCATACTAATGCCTTTGAGTTCCCCCCACAGATCTCCATGCTGCAGTGGCTCCTGGTTATCACCGCCGCCCTGCTCTCGGGCTCGGTTTTGATTGCCGTTCTGACGCCTGCTCTGCGCAACTCGCAGTTCTCGCTGTTCCTCATCATCGGAATACTGGGCGCCCATTTGGTGCTGGCCGCCGGATTCATGCTCTACTTCTTTCACAATCCCCCAGAGCCGCTGGCCGCCGTCGATCCGACTCCAGCTGCACCTGCTGCTCCTGCTGCTCCGGCTGCCTTGAAAGCAGTCACCCAGGCGGTTCTCCACGCAGTCGCAGCCGGCAATCAGACCCACTAGGAAGCATTCCAGTTAATCGACGTCGCTGACATATGTTGTACATTAAGTTGTCCTAATTATATAATATTCGTTAGAGAGCGATGCCAAGGCTCAGATGCATCGCGGTATTAATCCACATCTGAGCTCAAGCAGCCGCCCGCGTTTCCTGTTTTGTATTGACTTTCTATAACATTCGGCGACTGTATATTTATATATTAAATTAGAGCTAGAAGTACGTGTAATACCAAAAAACGAAGAAATCCAATAACAAGAAGGAACTAAAATCGCTAGAACTTTTCGCTGGGGTAGTAGACAATTTAAAAGGCCATCATTAAAAATTGTAAATATAATCCAAAGTACTTAAAATAAGCCTTAACTTGGTTATCGAGGGGTTTTCTTTTAGAAAAAATAATTTAATGTATCTTTTTGCTACCATATTCCATATGGAAATAGTCCTTTCGGAGGAAGAAATGGAAAGGAATGGGGATGCTGCGTTTGGTATTCGTTTGTTTTCAGTTTTCGGTGTTTTTTTGGGCTGCTGCAGGGGTTTTTGGCCAGCCAATGTCGTCACATACACACCCACTCTTTATATATATATATATATATGTATGTGCAGGGTTATGTGGAAAATATCGGGCACCTTCGGGGCTTTTCATCGTTTTTGCTGCTGCTGTTCATGTTTCAGGATTGCTTTGGGTGAATTTCATGCGCTTGGCGTATTTATTCGAGCAATGTGGAAATTATTCCAAGCGGAGGATGCTGAAAACAGGGTGTTTTGGGGTTTGGAAAATATCATTTATTATTTAATCTGGAAAATTTGAAAAGGATTATTCGTTTATTTATTTTACAAAGTATTAATATATCACTTGGATACAATTGTATATTTATTTATTAATGTAAACAAATGAACATTTTTTTTATAAGAATATTTAACTAAAATTTTATTATTATTTGTATCATTTGGATAAAAATATTATTTATTACTATGAACAAAAAAAGGCCGTCAGCCGTCGGGTACGCAGGGGGATCAACGGGGGACTCGTCCCCTGCCGTAACTGTGTGCACCGATGGTAGTGCGACTATACTCTCCCCGTGAGGGCGGCTGGAAGCAGGTCCATAGTCTAGCTATGACTATGGATGCTGACGAATCGTAGTCGGGCGGACCTGGGCAGGTCTTTAAAGTGCCTCCCCTCAAGTCAGGCGTGTCAAGCGACCCGTGCCCGCTGACTTTCAGGTTCGCAGCTGAGGGGTTAATCCAGCTGTGTTTTAACGGAGCCTTCCCAGGGCCGGGCAACCCTGGGTCGGAAGTGGCCTTGCCGTGGCTTTGGGGCGGAGTCACGGTCGACTCTTTCATAGAGCCCCAACAACCCTCAGGCCCGCCGCGCTTGCCTGGTCGAGCAACGCGGGCGATCATGTACTGACAATGAAACCCAACACCGAAGCTTCGGACCTCACGGGGGAGGTTAAACCCCAAACCGATTCCGCTACCATCGAGGAAGGGCCGCGAACACCCAGCCAGGGTGCTCCGGCTCCGATGGGAACGGAAGGGGCTGCTAAGACCAGCACCCCACTAGACAACAAAAACAACAACCCACACAGCAGCGGAACCCAGCCGGGTACCAGCAAGGCAGCCACCGTTACGCATCAGCAGCGTAAGGCCAAGGTCAGTCGGGCCCGTTTTATTCTCGGCAAGATAGCCAAGAATGAGGCAGAGGGCAAGACTGACCAGCGCGATGCGGAGGACAAGACTCGATGCCTTGCGGAGATCGCAGACTTCGAGGAATACATGAGGACGCGCCCGGAGGCCACTGTAACAAACACAAAAAGGGACCGCTCGCATGAGGCAAGCGTGAGCGCACCCAAACGGGCAAAGGACGCTCAGGGGAGGCCAAGACCGACCTCCTTTGTGAAGAAGGCCAAGAAATTCAGCGACGTAGCCAGAGACAGTCTCGCGATGGCACTGGTGGACGACCTGCACGACGACGGACGCCTGCTGTCGGAGAAGTGGGAGGAGATCGAGATCAAGGTGGCCGACATGGTAGCTGAAAGGCTATCAGCCGTGCCAGACGGTCCGATCCCCTCCTTCGACTCGTCGGACATGGTCAGAGGGCACCGGGTGATCAAGTGCGATGACTCGTTCTCGAGGACCTTCCTGGCGGAATGCATATCCAAGATTGGAAATGCATGGGACGGCCTTAGCATTAGGCTCGTCCACGCCAGGGAGATTCCAAGGAGGCCGCGGGCTCGCATTTGGTTGCCAAAGGAGCAGACTGACCAAGGAAAGGTGCTGTCGCTGCTGAGGGCTCAGAACCCAGAAGTGCACACAGAGGACTGGGCGATACTAAAAGTAGAGAAGGAGATGAAGACGAGCCAGCCGTTCCTCTTCCTCATCAACCAGCGCTGCCTGCCGCAGCTTGAGAAGGCCGACTACACCATCCGGTACGGCCTACGGAAGGCCAAGATCAAGGTCTTCCTGGCAGAGCCGGATGATGTTCTCGAGGAGGTCGATGACACCAACAAGCTGTTGGATGACCTGGTCATCGACGACAAGACCCCAGACGTAACACCCAACACCGATGCCTAAAGTCGTGCAGATTAACCTGAAGCGCAGCACGCATGCTTCAGCCAATCTTGCAGTTCTTCTCAGTGAGAGGAACATTGACATAGGCATCGTTCAAGAACCATGGACTCGAGACAGACAAATCTCGGGTCTAACACAACAAGGATATACACTCTTTTATACTAACTCGACAGGTAGGCCGAGAGCAGGTATTATTATAAAGAATAACTATAACGCACTTCTATGCCCCAATCTTAGCACACCGGATCTAGCAGTTGCCAGATTCGTGGCGGCGGATGGGACATCGATGGTGATAGCCTCATCCTACATGGCCCATGATGAACCGGCTCCACCTGAGCCAGTCATCAAGCTGCTGCAATGGGCGGAAGATACTAAGACGACCCTGGTGCTCGGATGCGACGCTAACGCGGGGCACACACTATGGGGAAGCTCGGAAACCAACGAAAGGGGTGAGTCTCTTTTTGATAATATTATCTGCCGCAACATCACCATATGTAATAGAGGTAACACACCCACCTTTATATTCCCAAGCACAAGGGAATTTCAGGGATGGGAAGAGGTGTTAGACCTCACTTTACAGACAGAATTTAGTAGATATAAGGTTGAAAAGTGGATAGTGTCGAAACAAAATTCCTTTTCAGATCACAGGTACATTTTCTTCGAAGTTTCGATTCCGATTAGCAAACCGGAACCGAAACGTAACCCCCGTAGAACAAACTGGGACAAATTCGGTAAGATTGTCTACTCGAAAGTTAGCAACAGAAGAATACGGGTACAAACCTCTACGACGACCCTGGACAAGGAAGTAGAGGACCTAACAAACATTCTAAACAATGCATATAAGGAAACATGCAAGGTTTCATACTCTAAGAAACAACACCCTTTATGGTGGACCAAAGAGCTTTGCACTCTGAGAAAGATGGCAAGAAAAGCATATAACTCCAGCTATGCTACCAAGGAATGGGAGCCATACAAAGAAGCACAAAAAGCATACAAAAAAGCGATATACGCAGCCAAGAAAGACTCTTGGAGGACTTACTGCGAATCGCTAGAAGGTATAAAAGACTCGGCTAGACTAAGCAAGGTCCTTGCTAAAGGGTATAACAGCCCAACTCTATTACACAAACAAGACGGATCAGCGACTACAACAGTGGAAGAATCCCTAGAGACACTAGTGGATACACACTTTCCAGGCAACCTTCGAGAAAAGCCAGCACCTACTGAAGGTCAGAGGGCTCATCAACCAACACACACAAGGGATATCATAACCATTGAAAGAATCAACTGGGCGATAAACTCCTTCGACAAATATAAGAGTCCGGGGCCAGACGGCATTTTCCCGGCAATGCTTCAAGCAACACAGGTCAGCATCAGTAGGTGGCTGCAAGCCATTTACACGGCTTGCATCAGACTAACACACATACCGCTTCTATGGAAGGAAGCCAAAGTTGTATTTATACCAAAACCAGGAAGAAGAGGACATATCCTAGCAAAGGATTACAGGCCGATCAGCCTTACCTCATTCCTAATGAAAACGCTGGAACGAATGATCGATATTCATATCCGGGAAAACACCGAGAAGCAGCATCTATCGGACGCTCAGCATGCGTACCGAAAGGGCAGATCGACAGAAACGGCACTACACGAAGTAGTTTGTCACATAGAAAAATCGCTACATTTTAACCAATATACAATGGCCACCTTCTTAGATATAGAAGGTGCGTTCAATAATGTGAACGCCGTATCCATACTGAGCTCCCTCAACTCGATCGGCGTTGAAGGAGACATCAGAGCTTGGATCGGAGTTATGCTCACGAGCAGGACGATAACAGCCGAACTGAGTGGCACTTACCTCACACGCTTTGTGAAGAGAGGCACACCTCAGGGCGGGGTTCTATCGCCACTGCTCTGGCTCATCAACATGAACGACATATTGAAAGAACTCAATAGCGGAGGAGTAAAAGTAGTAGCCTACGCAGATGACGTAGTGTTGCTAGTATCAGGACCATTCCCAGATGTCATTAGTAATATAATGACGGGGGCCCTTAACCGACTAAATGAATGGGCAAAAACCTGCGGACTAGGTATAAACCCGAGTAAAACCGAACTGATGCTCTTCACGCGAAGAACAAAGATCCCAACATACAGCAAACCAAAAATAGATGGAATCGAACTCGAGCTATCGGATAAGGCTAAGTATCTAGGAGTGATACTAGACCCGAAGCTCTCGTGGAAACTGAACATCACGGAACGAGTAAGAAAGGCCAGCATAGCATTCTACTCGTGCAGGAAAATGTTTGGCAAAAACTGGGGTATACACCCTAAGATAATATTATGGCTTTATACAGCAGTGGTAAGGCCAATTCTCACATACGGGGCACTAGTCTGGTGGCCAGCCCTGACAAGAGCATACAATATTGCCAAGCTGACAAGAATACAAAGATCAGCTTGCGCAGGAGCTACAGGGGCATTAAGATCATGCCCGGCTGCCGCGTTGAACACTATTCTGGATATAATGCCGATAGAACTTTTCATAAAGGATACGGCAGCGCAGAGTGCGGCCAGACTGAAGGCAAGTAATTGCTGGAAAGGCTACCACACAGGGCACTGCCGTATCTTAGAGGACAACAACTATCTGGCAAAGAACAAGACGGATTATATGACAGCGGAGATAAGATTTGGAAACGGATTTACGACTACCTTTCCAACGAGGGAAGACTGGGAGAATGACAGAGTAACCGGACAAGATGAGGTATCACTCTACACTGACGGCTCCAAGATGGACTGTGGTGTAGGGGCTGGAATTTTCGCTGAAAGCTGGGGGATAGAATCGAAATTCCACCTCCCAGAAACAGCGACAGTTTTTCAGGCTGAGGTACTCGCTATTTTGGAAGCAGCCAAGCTTTCGATTCAGCAATGCCTCAGGAACACCAAGGTACGGATATACTCGGATAGCCAAGCGGCTATCAAATCTCTCGCAGCAGCAAGAACCAACTCGACACTAGTAGCCGATTGCAAGTCGGCTCTCAACATACTAGCAACAAACAACCATGTACAGATAACATGGGTGCCAGGGCACAATGATATACCAGGAAACGAAAAGGCGGATGAACTTGCACGAAAGGGGTCGGCAGACGACTCCTATACAACTAGTCTACCGGAATCCCTTAATACAGTCCAAGCAAGGATTCACGAACACTACAAAACACTAGCTAGTAAAAGTTGGTCAGAAAAGCAGGGTCTCAGAAGATCAAAGCTCTGCTGGCCAACCATCAATAGCAAGAGAACTCGAGAACTAATATCCAAAAGTAAAAGGGATATTAGAAGGATCACGGCACTCATCACAGGCCATTGGGCCATTGGCACGCAAGCCATGAAGATGGGGCTTCCGTACAATGCTAATTGCAGGAGCTGCAAAGAAACAGACACACAGGAGACACCTGAGCACATGATGTGTCATTGCCCAGCACTAAACCATATCAGGGCGAGATACTTCGGGGCGTATCAGCTGGAATCATTGGGAGAAATAGGAAAGCAGAGGATAACTGCAATCCTAGGTTTTCTAAATGATGCAGGCTGGTACTGAAGAGAACGCGGAGACAACAATTTACGAGGGTGTGGATCAAAACGGAGCTCAGCTCTACTTGGAGGCTCTCAGAGAGGACCTCACCACTTCTACCTACCTACCATGAACAAAAAAGCCAAAAAATCATCATACAAAATTATTAAAACTTTTTGTAGTATATTAAACTAAAATTTCAGTTTTAAACTTTTGACGAATTGGAACACCCCTTATAAAATTCGGCATGTAATTCACGTACATAGGACTCTTTTACACATGTATGTGTGTGCGGAATGTATGTATGCCGGCGTCTCTTCCTGTGTTTCTGGGAATATGTTTGCATGTATGTATTCAACTGACATGCACCCACGCACATTTATAGAGAGAGAATTTCTCAATTTCAAATGCAAATATTCGCATAACGCATCGTTAGATTTGACGTTTTATTTATACTTTTCATGCAAGTGAAATGGGTGTACCCTTGTACATTGCTCATCTCTCTCACACACCTTTTTTTTTAGGATTTTTCCCTGGAGAAAGAAAATCCCTTTAACTTACATAGGCAACTGTGTGCATAGTTTGAGATACGGGGCGTATACTTGATGCGAGGTTTAGAGATACAGTATTTCGGGGGTGAAAAGGAAGAGGATTCTCATTATAATGGCTATGAAATATTATTTAAAATATTATTTAAAATTCTATGAATATGTAAAGTTTATTTTAATTAATTTCTTTTTAAGTTTATTTATCCAAGGATTTAGTAATAAGCCCCCTATTAATTTCGCTCAGTGTCTGTGTGTCGAAACGCATAAATATCCGAATGCCGTATTATGTATGGCCACTGATTCGATCGATTTGTGGTGGCATATAGATTAACTGATTTGCCATTCAGCTGATTAGCATTCAAGTGGGTGGTTGGTGGGCGCCCGAAACGGAAACGGAAGTCACTCGATGGCTGTTAAAAGTTTTTTTTTTGCCTCGTTCTCTGTCTTTTATTCCCTTTATTTATCCGCTGGCTTTTTTTTTTTGTTTTCTGTTTTGGGAAGGAGCGGAATTAGCTGATGTGCAGCGACTTGTGTGATTCCTTTTTTGTTGCCTCTTAAAGCAATTACGCCATCCTTTTAGCTCTCCATCCCTTTATGCTCTCCTGCCTCTCTTTTCACACAGATGCGTGCACTGTAAGAAATATTATATTTAAATATTTATTTTTGAATTTCGGTTTTTATTTTAGATTTTTCTGTCAGGCCGTTTTGACTTAAATTAATATTTATAAATAGAATTTATTAACTAATTTGATCTAAAATGTTATATAAATAATGAAAATATTTCAAAACATATTCAATAAATATATTAAATAATATAAATTAAATAAATACAATCAAAATATTTTATACAATATCTGCTGAACTTAAAAATCATACCCATTTTTCTCAGTGTACTC